ATATGATCTTACTTTGGTGACAAAGAATATCAAAACATACAACCAGAAGAAGACAACAAAGCCAAAGCTCCTACATCCAAAGTCTCCAAGAAAAATATGAATCAGTCCCAGGCCTTGGAAGAGCTCAAAAGGGATTTTGAGAAGCAAGTAAGAGAAGTAGAGGAAAAACTGAGAGTGATGCAAGAAAATCATGAAAAACAAGTCAACAGCTTGCTAAAGGAGACCCCAAAAAATACTGAAGAAAATAACACCTTAAAAAATAGCCTTTTAAAAAATAGAGGGACTGTCTGATGTTGGCTACTGCCAAGTGAAAGTTGTGGCAAGATGGGGTAGGAACAAGATATTAGGAAGTAACCGGAGCTCACGCTCCCGAGGCAGGGGCTGTGCTAGGCGGAGTTGTGGTGAACTGGGATGGGCTGGATACGGAGAAGTAACCGGAGCTCACACTCCTGAGGCAGTGGGCAGTGCTATGGGGAGCTGTGATAAGCTGGGGAAGGAACAGAATACAAGGAAGTAGCCGGAGCACGTGCTCCTGAGGCAGGGGGCTGTGCCACGTGGGAGTGGGATGGCAGAGGACGAGTTCCCTTTGCTTAATCCCCTCCCTAAGTGCAATGTCAACCCCAGACGCCTCCTTCCTGTGTCCTTCCTGACTTCCTGGGTCACGTACCTTCCCTTTGTGTAGCACTGACCCCAGACGCCTCCTCCCGGTATCTGGGCCTGACTTCCTAGGTCACGTACTCTCTCTTTGTCTATGCACTAATCCCAGACGCCTCCTTCCTGTATCCGGTCCTAGCCTCTTGCGTCACTTCCTCTCCCTTGGTGCGCTAAACCCAGACATCCCCTTCCGGTATCTGATCCTACAATCAATGACTAGTAGGCGGGCTGAGGAGGAGGGTCTAAGTAGGTACTTAAGGAACGTCCTGGTCGGAGCACGCGCTCTCTTTGCTCCTGCTCTCTTGCTATGGCCTTCCTGCTTGGCCTTGCTGTGATGGCCTCTGAATAAAGCTCGGGTGTTGGCACCTCCTGGTCGGCTCGTCTCTGTGTGTTTATCCGGGTAGGCACCGAAGACTGGTAAGTATGACTCTGGCAGCCTGCTCCTTATAGGAGGAGAGTGCACGGCATGGCCGGCACAGCCTAACTCAAATGGCAAAAGAGGTCCAAAAAGCCAATGAGGAGAAGAATGCCCTAAAAAGCAAAATTGGCCAAATGGAAAAGGAAGTCCAAAAGCTTACTGAAGAAAATACTTCCTTAAAAATTAGAATAGAGCAACTGGAAGCTAGTGACTTTATGAGAAATCAAGACACTGTAAAACAAATCCAAAAGAATGAAAAATTAGAAAACAATGTGAAATATCTCATTGGAAAAACAACTGACCTGGAAAATAGATCCAGGAGAGAGAATTTAAAAATTATTGGACTATCTGAAAGCCATGATCAGAAAAAGAGCCTAGACAGCATCTTTCAAGAAATTATCCAGGAAAACTGTCCTGATATTTTAGAACCAGAGGGCAAAATAGAAATGGAAAGAATCCACTGATCTCCTCCTGAAAGAGATCCCCAAAGGAAAACTCCTAGGAATATTGTAGCCAAATTCCAGAGTTCCCAGGTCAAGGAGAAAATATTACAAGCAGCCAGAAAGAAACAATTCAAGTATTGTGGAAACACAATCAGGATAACACAAGATTTAGCAGCTTCTACATTAAGGGACTGCGGGGCATGGAATATAATATTCTGGAGAGCAAAGGAGATTGGATTACAACCAAGAATCACCTACCCAGCAAAACTGAGTATAATCCTGCAGGGGAAAAAATGGTCATTCAGTGAAATAGAGGACTTTCAAGCATTCTTGATGAAAAGACCAGAGTTGGATAGAAAATTTGATTTTCAAATACAAGACTTGAGTGAAACATGAAGAGGTAAACAGGAAAGAGAAAATCATAAGAGACTTATTAAGGTTGAACTGTTTTCATTCCTGCATGGAAAGATGATAGTTGTAACTCATGAGATCTTTGTCAGTATTAGGGTAGTTGGAGGGGAAAAAATTATATGTATGTATATATAGATATAGATAGATAAATAGAGGGCACAGGGTGAGTTGAAAATGAAGGGGTCATATCTGGAGAATAAAATTAAGGGGTAAGAGAGGAATATACTAGGAGAAGGAGAAAGGGAGGGGTAGAACAGGGTAAATTATCCCACTTAAAAAAAAACAGAAAAGAAAAGGCTCTTACAGTGGAGGGGAAATGGAGGAAGGTGAGAGGGAATGAGTGAATCTTATTCTCATAGGATTTGACTTAAGGAGGGAATAACATACACACTCAATTGGGTGTGGAAATCTGTCTTACCCTACAGGAAAATAGGGGGGAAGGGGACAAGAGAGTAGGGGAATGATAGAGAGGAGGGCAGACTGGGAAAGGGAGTAATCAGAAGCAAATACTTCTGAGGAGGGACAGGGTCAAAAGAAAGAATAGAATAAATGGTTGGGCGGGATAGGATTAAGGGAAATAGAGTTAGTTTTTCACAGCATGTTTACTATGGAAGTGTTTTGCATAACTGCGCATATATAACCTATATTTAGTTGCTTGCCTTATCAATGAGGGTGGGTGGGGAGGGAGGAAAGGAGAAAATTTGGAACCCAAAGTTTTAGAATGGGGATAATAATAGCACCTATCCCTCATGGGGTCTGGTAAGGATCAAATGAGATAATATATGTAAAAGCACTTTGCAAAACTCAGTGTGTTACATAAATGCTAGCTATTATGATGATTATTATTATGCTGATATAGACTAGAGTAGAGAAGATTCGGTAGGGAGGTTCCATTATCACTGGAAGTATTCAAGCAGAGATGTAATCAGACAGCAAACATTTATGAAAGTAAGCCATGGATATAGAAAAATAAAAGTGAAACAATCCCTGCCCTCAATGAGCTTATAGTCTGAAGGAGGAGACGACATCTAAGCAGGCAATTATATGCATAGTATATAGCAAACGAATACAGAGTAGTTTAGGAGGGAGGGCACTAGCAGCTGGTGGGAGCAGGAAAGGTTTCATGAGGAAAGTGGCACAGGAGTTGAGTCTAGAAGGAAGCCAGGAATTCCAAGAAGCAGAGGTGGGATGGGAGCGCATTCCAGGCATGGGGGATGGCTAAAGCAGAAGTAGAGATGGGAGATGTGTGTGTGTAATAGGAAGTAGGCCAGTATGGCTGGATTGCAGAGTTCAAGGAGGGGAATAAAGAAGAATAAAGACTGGAAAGGTAGGAAGGGGCCAGGCGGTGAAAAGCTTTTAGGATAAAAAGGAGGAGTTCATATTTATTCCTTGAGGCACTAGAGAGTCATTGAGGTTTGTTGGGGACAAGAGTGGAGGAAGGGAGGTTAGAAGTCATGAGGTTATGAACTAGGTGAGGTAGATGTGTGAATGGAAAAAAAGTGTGTCTATGAGAGATGTTGTAGAGACAGCAGTGATTGAATGAGGGGTGTAAGTGAGATAAACAGCTGAAGGAGACAGTGAGGTTGTCCCCCTGGGTGACGTGAAGGATCGTGGTGCCCTCTGCAGTGAAGCAGGCATGGCCACGTGATGGAAGTAGGCACCCAACTCCCCGCCCCTGCCCTTCTCTGTGTGATGGCTCATTTGCCTTAAGCTGCACTCAGAACAGCAGGTCTGGGGGGCTTTAAAGGGGAGGGGAATAGCCATGGGCAGCCACACTGCTACAATTCACGCTCAAGGTCTTAGCCCTGATGCTGGGGAAATACAGGTCTGTTCTCCAAAATCTGCATTGGCATACTTCCCATTTACACAGCTCAGTAACGATGCTATCATTAACTCCTCATCAGGAAACATTTACTAAATGAGAAGGTAAACACAAGACCATAACAAGGCAACATTTACTCAAAAGAAGGCAAGGACAAATAACCTAAACGCACCAGTCCACCCGCAGACGTGGGTGTGGCAGGTGGGCAGGAGGGGAGAGTGAGTACCATTAGTGGGGCACATCAGTACGGAAATCCCTGTGTTGGAGGCAGAGGCAGGTCACAACTCTGGACTGTAGGGCTACATGTCTGTGGACTTTTCAGGAACAGTCTGGACCTCACACCACCTCCCCTTCTGAGCCTCTGAGCTCTCCTTCTAGATGGGCAGTCAACTGAAGCAGTGTTAAGCTCTTTTAGTAAATAGTAGCCTTAAGCTTGGGGTGTCTATCTTCTCAGTCTGTTCCCTTGGGAAGGCTAGTACAGCATGACACTTTCAATAAAAAGCACTTCCCTTTATTCCTAGAATCTTAAAGTTAATCATTTCTCTGTAGGCTTTGAGGGGTTTCCCCTCTCTCTAGGGCAGCTAGCTGATAATAGTGGTTAGAGTGCTGAGCCTGGAGTCAGGATGACCCAACACCAAATCTAACCTCAAACACTTATTTGACCTGGACAAGTAATTTAACCATTATCTGCCTCAGTTTCCTCAGCTGTAAAATGGGGATAATAGTATCTTCCTCACAGGATTACTGTGAGGATCAAATGAGACGATGTTCATGAAGCACTTAGCACAGTGCCTGTCACATAGGAGGCACTCAGCAAAGACTTATTCCCTTCCTCTTCCCCTCTTAAGCTACAAATGGCTCTAGAGAGCAATGCAGTCCTCCTTCAGCCAGCTTTGTTTTGTTTTGTTTTTGGTTAGACAACGGGGTTAAGTGACTTACCCAGGTTCACACAGTTTGTAAGTGTCAAGTGTCTGAGTCTGGATTTGAACTCAGGTCCTGCTGACTCCAGGGCCAGTGCTCTATCCACCGCGCTACCTAGCTGCCCTTTTCAGTCAGTTCTTTACACAGTAGAGCATGCTTCTTTTACTGATCAGCTCCTAGCATCAAAGCTTTCCTCCAGTTAGGTCAGGTCCCCACCACAGATACAAAGCCTTCTTGTACACTCTACTCAGCTCCTATCAGCCTTCTCTCAGCTTCTCAGCTCCTTAGACTTCTGCGTCCATTTTCTTTAAGCAATTTTTCTCATCTACTATTGTTCTTTGTCTTGCTATGTCTTCTTAAGCTAACTTCTCATGCTTCTAACTTATTTGGCATCTAACACTCCAAAACAGGGACTCCTCATGGGTACTGTGATCCATCTCAAACTTAGGTGGAGAAACCAAAAATGCATGTTTCTAATATGACACAGTCATTATATAATAGTCACACAGTCCCGAAATAGTTCTGAGATAGAAGCCCTTAAAACAGTGACAGGCAGCAAGGAAGGTACTGATAAGGAGAAACTGATGATGGATGGGGTGGCAGAATGATGAAGACAAGTCTACCGTACTTAGAAAGAGGCTGCTCCCAATCACACGGTAGGCCAACGTCGAATGTCAACGTCTGTGCTGGTTCTGTTTTCTCATGTAGGTGCCTACATCTTAGGTGACTTAGGCACGTGCCAACCCCCTGTTAAATATATACATCCAAGAAAGAAAACTCAAACTGAATGCCATATGATCATAATGATGGTTCCTACCATTTCCACCAACTTTTGTCCTGTCTTTCATCCCTTTCTCAACCAAGCTCCTTTAAAAAAGCAGTCTATGCTGATCGCCTCTACGTCCTCTTCTCTCACTCTCTTTTCAACCTCCTGCAATCCAACATCTCACCTCATCAACAATCTTCTATCCACCCAATCTAATCTTCTCAACACCCGCCTTCTTTGACCTCTCAGCTTTATTTGACATTGTTGACCAACCTCTTCCCCAGATCCCTCTCCTCTTCTTTTTTTTTCTGTCTTGCTCTTGCTACATAATTGGCCCACCTCCTCTTCTAATCCTTAATATTATCTTTCAAGCCACTCTTGGATTGGATTCTTCACTGAATATAATGTTGAAGCTATCTTGTTCATGTCCACCATTCATCTCTCTATTACCTTTGGGGTAACTAACAACTTTAATTCTTCAAAGATTATAGTTTTCCATGATCCACAGCCATATAGCCTTGCCAGAGTGTTGGTATTTATTTTAGACACAGTCCTGGGTTTGAGGAAGAAGTTTGGGAGCATGAAAAATGTACCATGAAATTTCCCAGATGTTACCAAGCCTGCTCTCTATCTCTTATTCAATTCTGGGCTCAGAATTGCCCATCTGCCCAGTCTGTCTAAGATAGGAGTACAAGACAGGAGACCAGTAAGATATGTGGGTTAGACCCAAGGGTCCTTCTAGCTCTAAATCCCATGAATCAATGTATGAGTACTTTCTAATAATAATTGTTATTGATAGCTTTTCTTTTATCACCTCCATTTCCAAATATATTACTCCTTCCTTTCCTCTATAGAGAACCAACCCTTATAAGAAAGAAGAAAAAAATAGCAATTCAGCAGAAGCGTGTTAACTATATGGAAATATATGTAGCATTCCATTCTTCACCCATGGTCCCCACTTTTGCAAAGAAGAATGAAAGGGTTAAGTTATCTCTTCTTGAAGCCAAATTTGATAGTTATAATTACACAGCATTTAGTTTGGAGTTTTGTCATTTTTCTTTCCGTTGACATTGTTGTAGTATTGGGTATACTGTTTTCATCTTTCTTCACTCTGGGCCACTATGATCATAGGATCATAGATTTAGAGCTCCAAGCTACCTTAAAGGTCATTGAATCCAACCCCATCATTTTAGAGATAAGGAATCTGAGGCACAGAGAGGTTAAGTGATTTTCCCAGAGTCACACAGCTTGTGTCTGAGGCAGGGTTTGAACCAAGGTTTTCCTGACTCAAAATTCAGTATTATTAATTGCTCCATGATGACTCAAGCCATTAGCAGACAATGATTTTGATCCATCAACCTTAGGACTTTGAGCTCAGAGCACTTCTGTTGTTGGGTTCATCTATGTTCATCCCATGCTTATCTGAATTCTCTATATTTACCATTTCTTACAGCAGAGGTGTCAAACATAAGGCCCCGGGGCCCATGAAGCCCTCAATACTCCAGAATGCAGCCAGGAGCAGATTAAAATGTCATTGGGAAATATTTAATAAAATTAATAAAAATACAATAAAATATAAATGTTAATTTTGTAGTTTTCTAAGTCAGTATGCCACCACAGGGATCTTTATGTGTGATTTAGTGACCCCATTCTATTTGAGTTTGGCATGCCTGTCTTACATGTCCATTACATTACTAATTTGATTAGTCGTTCCCCAATTGCTGGGAACCCCTTTTGTTTCCAGTTCTTTGCTACCACAAAAAGTGCTGCTATAAATATTTTAGTGCATATGAAGCTTTTCTTTCTCTCTTTGACGTCCTTGGGGTCTAATACATCAGTATTTTCAAAGGACAGATAAAAAATAGCTCCAAAGCATGCAACAATCTTATTCATTTGTGTCAGGAAGGAAAGATTAACTAATAAATCCCTTTCATCCATGCTTATGTATGGATGTGTCCTGGCTCCGACCTGTGGTACCAGAAGTCAACCAGGAAGAGCAAACTTTACCAGCATGCAGAGGAGACACCAGGAAGGCCTCCTTTGATTTCCCAAGAACTCTTACAAATTCCTGTCTGGATGCCTGTATTATACTATTAGATATTCACTCTCTGGTACTTAAAATGTGTTCATTCTTTCAGAAGTAATTAACATGATGGAAGCCATTAATCTACTAGTAGGATCAGCTTAGAATAGAATCAGTTGAAGAGATTGAAGAGAACCTGAAAGTTCTCTTGGAAATAAGCCACAGGATTGGGGCAGGCCCAAGAAGAGAGAGCAGGAGTGCCAGAGATGAGCTTTGCTGACTTCATAGCTTTGCCTAAGACTGATCTTGGAACCCAGACAACAGATATTTTACTGGAACCCAATCTGGGCATGCACAGATAGTTTAGTCCTGCCTGGGAGGCAGGAGACCTGGGTTCTTATCCTAGCTCTCTTAACCTGCTGTCTAATCTTTGAACCCTCACCCTCAATGGGCCTCATTATCCTATAAGACAAGGAGTATCCAAGCTCTCTTCTAGTTCTAATGTTTATAAGAACATGGGTTTAAGAGCTGGAAGGGACCTTAGATGTTTTCTCATCTAACCTCATTTTGCATATCAGCAAACTGAGGCCTTAGGATGATGAGTGGTTTGACCAGGGTCATACAGATAGAAATTGGCAGAGCCTGGATTTGAACCCAGGTCCTTTGACTCCAAATATGGCCTACTTTCTTTTTTTTTCATTTTTTTTTTAGGCAATTGGGGTTAAATGACTTGCCCAAGGTCACACAGCTAGTAAGAGTCAAGTGTTTGGTCTGAGGCCAGATTTGAGCCCAGGTGCTCCTGACTTCAGGGCCGGTGCTCTATCCACTGCACCATCTAGCTGCCCCTTATGGCCTACTTTCTTTTGTACCATGCTGTCCCCTCCGGCCTTGATGTCATCATTTATAAAGTATGAATAATCACCTCTGAGCTGCCCACCTCAAAAGGGTGGTTGTGAGAAGCAAATAAGATAATCAATGTAAAAGTGCTAAGAGGCTTTGAATAATAGTAATAGTAATAATAATAATAATAACGATAATAATAAGCTAACATTTGTACCACATTTTCAGGTTTACAAAGCAATCTCTTCCTTTCTCATACTATATGTTAAAAAAATATATGGATGCTGTATTTTTTTTTTTTGAGTGACACAGACATCCTGAATCGGGATTACTCTAAGAATATAAATTGTCTATTTCAAATTGCTTAAGTCAGTCAGAGTTAAAGCTCTGGCTCCATGTACATGCCACTAACTTAAGGGAATCAACAGTATGAATTGACTTATCACCTAGCTTGTTGCCTCTTTGACCAACTTTCAGGGACACAAATAAAAGTCATTGTCTGAGATGTCATAATCCAGCATTCAGTTGCTAAGTTGCTAAAGGTTATGAGTTAGTCCAAGTGCAACCACTGAGGGTGTAGGTTGGCTGATGGGAATTTGGCTACTAGTAGGTCTAGTAGCATGGCTGAACAACTAACTGAAGAGCAGATTGCAGAATTCAGAGAAGCCTTTTCATTATTTGACAAGGATGGAGATGGTAGTATAACAACAAAGGAATTGGGAACTATAATGAGGTCGCTTGGGCAGAACCCCACGGAAGCGGAATTACAGGACATGATTAACGAAGTCGATGCTGATGGTAACGGCACAATTGACTTTTCAGAGTTTCTGACTATGATGGCAAGAAAAATGAAAGACACAGACAGTGATGAAGAAATTCGAGAGGCATTCCGTGTGTTTGACAAGGATGGTGATGGTTTTATCAGTGCGGCAGAACTTCGCCATGTGATGACAAACCTTGGAGAGAAGTTAACAGATGAAGAGGTCGATGAAATGATCAGGGAAGCCGATATGGACGGTGATGGCCAAGTAAACTATGAAGAATTTGTTCAAATGATGACAGCAAAGTGAAGACATTGTATGGGATACATTAAATGTCTCGTGCCTCTTTGTTTATTTGTCATTGTTTGTAACTTCTCTGTAAAAGGTTTCCACTCTCTACTGCATGTATAGCAATTAGAACTTCATTCTTCCATTGTTTTTTTCTCCTTATCTCTCTATCATTGTCCAGAAACTTTATTTTGGAAAATTGATCAAGTAACATGTTACATGTGGCTTACTCTGGATATATCTAAGCACTTCTGCAATGCAAACTTAGATGGATTTGGTCAAATGAGGGAATATCTGGATTATACCTTTTTTTTTTCTTTTTAAGAAGTAGTTTTCTTGACTTAGATTCTTAAAATCTAGCCACTGCTCAGATTCTTAAGATCTGGCCTGCTTGTATTAGTGATACAAATGCTTAGATTCCTTAAGAGTCTGCCCAATATGACGGATGTTCTCATAAACCTTGTCTTTGGCTGAAAGAAGGCTTGGGTTCAAATTCATTTTGGCAGGACCCGTGTGTTGTGATTTTGCGGTCCCAGCACCCCTAAACCTCTAAAACTCAACATTTTGGTGGCCCGTACGGGGAAGCTGCCTAACCCCAAGTTCTTCTCCAGCCAAGACTGGAAGGTATGTAAGCCTCCCAGCTTCTTTCTTGCCCTGCAGTTAAGGTCACTCTCCAAGCACCTAGGAAGGCGTGGAGGTGGTTTTAAGCAGACAGTTACGAAGCTGTCTCAAACTCAGCCTGACGCTATTAGGCTCTCGATTCGCTGATTCGGTTTGAGGCCATGGACCTGGGTACACCTTTCACAGCATAGATGACAAGGCTGGACATCCTATCCAGAAGTGTACGCCCAATTCTGTCAATTCTCTAGGTGCTAGGGAATTGGGAAAACTGCAGGTGCTTTTTGGTTCCCTGAGGCTTACTTACTCCTTTCCCTCTACACCCCTCAATCCTCCTTCATGGAGGCTACAGGGAAAAGTTAGAACAGCTAAAAACATCTTAGCAGATTCTGAAAGTTTTGTGATCAATCATTAAGGAGTTTTGAAACACCTCTTACAACCCTGGTCACTCCCTTCTCCTACTTCCTTCCCTTGAGTCAAGAGGGTATCTGTTAATCCTTCTCTGGAGAAGAGAGTTTCACCCTCCCCCCTCCACCCCTTCTAAATTTGCCCTCTACAGCATGAGCCCCACTGGCAATGGCCTTGGGCCCTAGGGCAACCTTTGTCTGGAAGCATCACCCAGGTTCAGCACATCCTGCTCAAGGTAAAGAAGCTAGCCTCCGAACTGGGGTAAGCATGCTCTTTTAAAGTTGTGGTTTTAACTGTTACTGATGAGATGTTGATTCTCCGTGTAAAGTAATTTGGAAACGCATTTAACAAAATTGAAGTCATCTGATTGGTAATGGGTTTGTTTCAAGTTTCAAATTGGTAAACTTTTTGTATCAGCTATGTCAAGCAACTTTTCATAATTTGGTTACTGCTAAAATAATTTGTCTGGTTATTGTTTTAATGTGTAAACTTGCCAAAAAGCTTGTTTGGGTTTTGTCTTGCTGAGAATTTGCAAGTACATAGAAATAATCTCTAACGATTAGCTTTTTACATCAAGACAAATTTAAGTTTGAGATGTAAATCCTGGAAAAGGTTTTCCTAAGCTGTGATTAGTGAAACTTGCTGTTTGAAGTAAAAGCTCATAGGATTTTATTTTGAGTTGTCTGATGGATCATAATAATCCATCGATAATCAATCATCCACCATCTGAGAGAAATGCCACAAGCTACTTAGAGAGAATATGATACTGGTGGGAAGTCAGCATTGGGAAAAGCCGAGAGGACAATTTTAGCTTCAGTGTAAGATGGGACCCTCCTGGCTCAGTTTCCCCATTATGGTTCCTTTGAAAAGGAATGTTACCCACCTGGCTATTCCTGAGTCTGGCTATGAGATGGATTTGATACTGCATGATTGGAAAACTGAATTATCTGAATCTGAACAGAGCTAAGGATGTTTTATCCTGTCATATCTGGGCTCTGCAGTCTTTTCTGTCAGATTTGTGTCTTCCAGACTATAAGCCATTCACCTACAGTTGATAGCCAACAGTGGGTCCCAGCAAATGTCCCTCCAACATTCCCTGGACGCAGCCTGTGCTCGGTTACAGTCAACCTCCTCTTTAGGAACCCCTCGAGGCAGGTACAGCTCTATGCCCCTTACCAGCAGGAAGCAGTTTCAGAAGCCAAGACCTCTGCCTCTTACCCCAAAGGAATTGGAGCCCCATTTGTTTGAGGGGAGAATGATGAGGATGGGCTCTGGATCCCAAAAAGGAAAAACCCTGGACTTTCCCACATGGCTGAATCTCTGGAGTTCACCTGAAGCTATAATCCTATCAAGTGGCCTTCCTTAGCCCAATCTACCTCCAGATGGCCACTTCCCATGCTTAACTCTATCTAGACTCCATTCTCCCTTAGCCATGGCAGATGTTCTAACAAACCTTGTCTTTGACTGAAAAAAAAAATAGTTTTCTTTAGGAGCTAATAGTATGTTGTTGTTGAAGTGTGGAGTTATAACTCTGCATGGAGTATGGACAGTCATCAATCTGTACTCAAATTTGCACTATTGCAAAAGGGGTATATTATTCAGGTTGTTGTCATTCAGTCATTTCAGTGGTATCTGACTCTCCATGACTCCATCTGGGGTTTTCTTGGCAGAGATACTTGAGTGGTTTGCCATTTCCTTCTCCAGCTCATTTTACAGATGAGGAAACTGAGGCAAACAGTAGGGTTAAGTGACATGCCCAGGGTCTCACAGCTAGTATGTATCTGAGACGAGATTTGAATTCAGGAAGATAAGTCTTCCTGACTTTAAGTATGGTACTCTATCTGCACCACCTAGCTGCCCCAGGTACTCAGATACCATTTTTCTTTTCTTTCTTTCTTTCTTTTTTTTTTTTTTTTTTGTTACTGCTGGTCCTGTACCAGAAAACATTTTCTTCTATTGCTGCTTTTTAAATTTTGTTTAGTCACTTATTAAAAAAAAACCTGCTTATGGCACAATTTGCCTCAACTCCATTTCAAGTTGTATATTTATATATGTTTTCCAATAAAAAATAATTGCACATGTGTTTCAGTACTATTATGATCTAATTTTAAACTTACTTCTCCCATAGATACTGTGTGTATTTGTGGGTAGGAGTCGACCAGGTTTTTAGGAGAACATTTTGTGTTAACTGTCTCTACCATATTATCTAAGAGTAGTAGCTGTTCCTCCTCCTCCTCCTCCTATTTTGGGGTTTGGGGGGGTTAGATTTTTTCACATTCAAATTAGCTGATTAATTAATATTTCAAAAAGCTGGGGCATTTTTTTTTTTTGGGCAATTGGGGTTAAGTGACTTGCCCAGGGTCACACATCTAGTAAGTGTCAAGTGTTTGGTCTGAGGCCGAATTTGAACTCAGGTCTTCCTGATTTCAGGGCCCAGTGTTCTGTCCACTGCACCATTGAGCTGCCCCAGGCAATTTACTTTTTGTCCTGAGAAGTTTTCATCTATGATTTCTTGAAATATAGCCCTGAAAAAACAGGCTTTTAAAAAGCTCATTGTGTTTCAAATGGAGGTACTTGACTATGCCTTTAAACCCAAATCACTTTGGTTCTCATTGAATGGCCAATAATAGCCCCCAACTCAAGCTTTGGTGCCTCATTATTTATATTTTGATGGATTAGAATGAATGTAAATAGCAATTGTTTTCTGTTCTGGCCAGAAACTGAGGTTCTTTCCCACCCAGACTGCTATTTTTGTGATGATAAATTGGGCCATCTTTTGGTCTCAATTCTTACCTAGCCCTTAGTCATTGAATGGGCATTGCCACAGACAAACTGAGACCTGGGAGAGACCTTAATTTAGAAAGGACAGGGCCATCCACAGCATCCTGAGCCATTGCCAGTCATCTGGACTTCTGTCTCTGGAGGAGAAAGGGAGGCTGAAAACTTTGTGGAGCTCTCAAATCCAATTCACGCACAAGTCAAGACTGCAGCACAATGTCAATTTGATTTTTCTCAAACCCTGGGAGGTAGGTGTGGTTATCATCCCCATTTTAAAGTTGAGAAAACTGAGGCAGAGTTTAAGTAACTTGCTCAAGACCTTGTAGCTAGTAAATGGTTGAGGCTGGATTTGAACTCAGGGCTTCCTGACTCCAGGTCAAACACTCTACCTACTGAAACACCTAGGTGCCAATGGCTTCTAAGGTTTCTTCTACCTCTAAATTGATGATTCTATGACTTCAGGATTCTGAGAGGAAAGAGAATAGAGACTAATTCAGAGGCTATTACAATAGTCCAGTCAAGCAGTGATGAGGGCTCATGAACTAGCAGTTTGTGGGCATAGAGGGAAAGGTATCAATCACAGACATGTCGTAAAGATAGAATAAATAGGACTTGGCAACTTTTAGGCCATAGTGCAAGGGTGTGCTAGCTTAACAACCTGGCTCTCTGAACATTTAACAGTGGGCTCTCTGGAAGGCAGGTTACACTTTTAAGTTTAATCTGCATTATCAATAGTTCTGCTATCACTTTCTTGTGTCTAGACAATCAACAAAACAGCAAATCAAGCCCTGATTTGTAGTGTTTGCTGATCTCAGGTATAAATGATCACACTGAAAATTTAACAATGGGCTCTCTGAGAGCAAGTTCCAACTGGCTCTGACAACGAGAGAGACAAGTTGACAGAGATAAGAGACAGAGAGTCAGATGGAACGGGGACAGTGAGACAGAGAGAGGGGGAGAAAGAGAGGGAGAGAGAGAAGGAGAGAAGGGGAGACAGACAGGGAGAGGGAGAGAGAGGGAGGGAAAAAGAGGGAGGAGAGAAAGGGAAGGAGAGAGAGAGGGAGAGAGAGAAGGGGAAAGAGAGAAGGAGAGAAAAAGGGAGAGAGAGAAGGAAAGAGAGAGACACACAGAGAGAGACAGAGACACAGAGAGCTCAAGGATGACTCCCACATCACAAACTTATTTAACTGGAAGAATGGTAGGGCCCTTGACAAAAA